TACTCTGGGAAACACCTTCTTCCCTTGGGCAGGATGTGGAGAAACCTCAGGAGCTGTGAGGGGCAGGGCCACCTCAGCACCCACACCACCCCAGCTATGTCATGTTTATAAAATGTTTTCAAATAAGCAAGCCAAAAGTTAAGGCTGGGGATGTAGCTCTATGAAATGCTAGATTCAATCCCTAATGCACTCCCAATTAACCACTTAAGATCCATCCTTTCTTCCAGCAATTAACCTGTCTGTCTTTTTAATACTTGTAAAAGAGCTCCATCACAAACTCCTATTCATAGCAGAGTGGGCGATGGCACAGGTTTTTAATCTCAGCACTTGGGAGCAAGAGGCAGGTGGATCTCTGTGAGTTCGAGGCCAGCCTGGTCTACAGAGTGAGTTGTTCCAGGACAGCCAGGGCTACACAGAGAAACTCTCTCTAGATGGATAGCTAGCTAGCTAGACAGACAGACAGATACCAAACAACTCCTGGTCATGTCCCATTTATGAGCTGTGTATGAGAGTCTACCAAATAGCCTATGGTGACTCCTACTTGTAACCTCGGCACTCAGGAGGCTGAGGAAGGAGGATTTGAAGCCGGCTTGGGTTACATAGTGGGGGGGGGGCGCTATTCTGTAAATTAAAAAAATAATATCTTCATTTTTCTGAGCCGCAGCACTAATGAGCAAGAAGGCCCCTACAAGCAAGCACCTCCCCACTTCTTAGAAGGCGGCCCCACCCCCCACTTGCCTGCCAAGCCCAGACACCTCAGCTATGTTTACACTGGTAGGAATAACACATTAGCCTCCTTGGTGCTGGGTTTACGACTGTGCGCCGCTACTCGGTTTTCGCTGTATGGGTGTATCAAGGCAAGCTAGACCCATTGAGCCCAGCCCCAAATCCACTAAGGCCAACCGGTTCCCTTTCCCCAGGTTGAGCTCTCTCCAAAAGAGAACAATGTTTTTTGTATAACTGCAAACACTGGTAAAATTGTTGGCCAAAACAAGATCAAAGGAGCATGTGTTAGCTATAGGCCCAAGATACGCGTTTTGTTATATCACACATTTCTGGAAGGAGACCCCAGAAGGAAATCAGGCCCAAGCGGAAAGCGAGCAGAAGTCTTTACTGTTCCTATAAGTTCTCCACACTTTAAAAATCCTGTAAGCCGCTCATCAAAACTAACACGGTTCAGTTCCCAGATCTGCCGCTGCGCGCGGCTGCCTGGCCGAGCTGGGGCCCAGGTGACCGCACAAGGGCGCAGGTGACCTCACACGCGACGAGGCGGCGGTTGCTCGGTAACCAGATTCGCAAACAACAGGAGTATCGGTAACGGGTGCACCGGGGGCGAGCGGACACATCAGGTGAGGGGCTGCGGGCGGCGGGAGCAGCCTGCGGCCGACCTCCCAACCCAGACTGAAACCCCAGAGGCGGAGCCTAAGCAGGGGAAGGGTCCTGCTGGGCACCCAGCCCAGCTGGCCTGCTTCTCCTTCGTGCCAGGGCGGGGCCAGGGACGCGACCGCCCTAACTACCCAGGTAGCCAGTTCCAGCCTAGGTGTGCCAGCCCAGTCACACCACCCTGGAAAGGAAACAAGGCTTCTTCTCCCAGATCCCCCGTGGGCCTGTCCCACAGCCCTGGGAAAGAATGATTGTTGGAAGTAGGGGTGGGAACTGGATTAGGGGAATGTTCCCTGCCATCCTACACACACACACACACACACACACACACACACACCTGCTGTATCCTTTCCTTTACACGCCCCTGGAGCAGGGAGCGGGGGGGTGTCCAGAAGAGGCGCTTTGCTTTTACTCTGCAGGTGGTGACCTGGAACAGGCCTAAGGGTTTCAGACCCTTGGCTCTTCGGCCATGGCTACGCTGAGTGTCAAGCCCAGCCAGCGCTACCAGCTCTCGGACTGGCGCACCAACAGTTACCTGTTGTCCACTAATGCGGAGCGGCAGCGAAATGCTTCCCACCAGATCCGCCAGGAGGCCCGGATCCTTCGCAATGAGACCAACAACCAGGTGTGAGCCCACACACAGCCTCTCGGCCCCGTGGGCCGTGGGAGAGCGCTCAACCACAGACATCATTTTATTTGGTTCCGTCTCTTGCAGACCATATGGGATGAGCATGACAATAGTGCTGGCCTGGCGGAGAGGATCTACACGGTCAACCGATGGAAGGAGATGCTGGATAAGTGTCTGACAGACTTAGATGCTGAGATCGACTCCTTGACCCAGGCAGGGAGCCAGGGCAGGGCATCAGCGGGCTTGGATACAAAGCTCCACCCCTCCCACCCCATTTCCGGATCTGGGAAGCCCCGCACCCCTCTGCTGACCTGTGGACCCTTGCGACCTCCCAGTGCCCCTCCCCACCAACCCCTGGGACCTTCCTTCCTAGATGAAAGAGGCTGTGGAGCAAAACCTGCAGGCCAAGAACCTGCCTCTGGATGTGGTCATCGAGTGCCTGACCCTGCGGGAGAGCCGGCGAGACATTGACATGGTGACGGATCCTGTGGAGGAAGAGCTGGTTAAAGAGGTGGAAGCCATCGAAGACACCAGGAAGGCCCTGCAGCAGAGGGCCAGTGACGCCTTCCAGCACCTCTGGTGAGGCGGAGGCCTACCCCGCACACTCATCTACACTGCACGGGTTTTTTGGGTGAAAAACAATTAGCTATTCTGTGACAATAGTAACAATTAGCGATACTTTCTGTGCCTCCCGGCCTCCTGGCAGAAACCACTGTTTAGAGCATGCTCTGCACTGCCTACTTGTTGTTAGGATCCTACTCTAGGCCTCTGTAATTCAGCTGGAAGCACCTGCCACTGCTCGAGGTACCCTATAGTAAGTGTTCGTCCATGCATGTGAAGCCACCTACCTGTGCCTTGTGTCTGGGGACACTCATGAGGCTATGCTGCTCGTCTGGGATGCAGCAGCGCATGCCTGGTTTTACACACACACACACACACACACACACACACACACACACACACACCCCACAACCCCTAAGTATCCTTGCAGGCCAGTGAGGGCTGCATCCCAGTCCCCAGCGATGGTTCCAATGCTGTCTCCTTCCCCAGCCTCTTGCAGGAAGTCCGGCAGCAGCTCAACTCTGACCACCGAGACAAAATGGAGACCCTGGAAATCGACAGGGGCTGCCTCTCTCTCAACCTCACTTCCCCAAACCCCTCTCTGAAGATCAACCCCACACGAATCCCCAAAGAGTAAGAATAGTATTTCAGTCAGTCCCTCCTCTGTCCCTTGGGGGTCACACCCTGTGACCCCATTGCTTCCTTGCCTCCACAGCTGCACCACACTGCAAGAGTGGGACGAGTTCAGTAGGCTGAACAAGAACCGTGCAGAGTCAGAAATAAAAGCATCCATAGAGCTGAGGGAAGCCATTGCCCTAACGATTGCCCAGGTGACTGAGCCCAACTCACCTTTCTCTCTCCTCCTGCCCTGGCCATAGGCTGGCCTTTCCCCTGACTTAAACAGCAGCCTCATGACCTTCCTGTTGCCTGGCTGGCTCTTGTCTTGCAGACCAACAACAAGTTGGAAGCTCAGAGGGTCACCACAGACTTTGCCTTCAGGAAGAGGCTTCGGGAGATGGAGGGTTTTTACAGTGAGCTCAAGTGGCAAGAGCAAAATGTGAGTTTTGCCCTGCCCCATCCCTCCCAACTGTGAGGCCAAGGCACAAGGTACCTGGCCCGGAAGCTCTCCTCCGTTGGGAGCCCTGGTTTGAATCTTGCCTGAATGGTAATGTCTGCCACAGACCATGGAAGAGATAGCCGAGCTACAGGAAGACATCCGGCACCTGGAGGAGGACCTGCGCAAGAAGACGATCAGCCTGAAGCTTGCACATACCCGACTGGAGTCCAGAACCTACCGGCCCAATGTGGAACTCTGCCAGGACCAGGTACGAAGGGCCCCAGTGCGTGCGGACTGGGCCCCTCTGCTAAGGAGACCTCAGTCTACCCCTCTACACAAGTTCCTGGTGAAGCAAGCAAGCATTCTGGTCCAGGGCAGCCATGAAGCCAGCTGAAGGCAGTGTGGGTGAACTGCATGTCCCATCTTGCCCCCTGCCTCCAGGCACAGTTTGGCCTCAGTGATGAACTCCACCAGCTGGAGACAACCATCGCTACCATGAAGCAGAAGCTGGTCCAAGCACAGTAGGTTTAGAGAGAGGGCAGGGAGACACTGCCCAGCCATGGGACGGACCGTACTTCCTGCTGATCCCTCCGGCCCTCACAGTCTGATGCAGGGCTGCAAGCTCGCGGTGTCTCCCCTCCACAGGGATGCCCTGGACGCCCTGTCCAAGCACCTGGCCCGCATACAGGCTGATATTGCGTGTAAGACTAACTCCATGCTGTTGGACACCAAGTGTCTGGACATCCGACGCAAGCTGACCTTGGCGGCTGAGAAGTTTGTGCCCCGAGTGGACACTTTCAAGCGCACGACGAACCGAACACTGGCTCCAATCAAAACCTGCCAGCTGGAGCTGACCTAGCCTTGGTGGCCGAGAGAAGAGGGAAGGCGGGGGTGGGGGAGTGAGGAGGGGTCAGTAAAACTAATAAAGATGGAGTTCTCAGGACAGGTTCTTCTGTGCCGTACACTGTGGGTGCCTGGCAGAGTGAGCCACTCCACTTGGGTGATGGAGTGGCCCAGGCTTCATAGTGGTCAAGCATCCAAAGTGACTCCAGAAGGAATGCGGGTGCAAAGATAGAGGGGTGCTCGCTACCAGACAGCAGTGGCTTTGGGTGGGCAACATTCTTGTTCAGGCGCTTTTAAAAGGGTCCTCCGCGATACTTTAGAAGGCTGTCGATCCAATTTGTGGCGCCATCTACTTGGCGCGAAGCCTGCGGGGTCTGCGGAGCGCTGCGACTCCGAGCCGCTGAGCGGCGCTGTGGGATACGAGCGCGTGCTGGGGCTCCAGGCCACAAGGGGGAGCTGTGGGGCCGCGGCGGAGAGACGACAGCTTAGGCGGCCGCATCGGTGCCGGAAGTGGCGGCCAGTCCGCGCGCAGATGGCGGCGGCGGCGGCGATGACGGCGGCGGGCGGCGGGGCTGGTGCGGCCCGCTCCCTCTCCCGCTTCCGAGGCTGCCTGGCGGGCGCGCTGCTGGGAGACTGCGTGGGCGCTGTCTACGAGGCACATGATACCGTCAGCCTGACGTCAGTCCTGCATCACGTCCAGAGCCTGGAGCCGGACCCGGGCACGCCGGGCAGCGCGCGGACAGGTGGGCGTGGCGACCTCGTCGGGGACTGGCATTTAGGGGGGCGGTGCACGCGGACGAGGCAGCCGAGGAAGAGGGTCTTGCGGCGTGCGCCCGCGAAGTCAGGACTATGAAGGCCCCGGCGACCCTGTCGGTTTCCTCCAGCTCTCCCAGTTAGTAGGTCTCTTAGCGGTGTCCTAGGACAAGCCTAAAATCTTGGCGAGGGCCAGAGGCCGCGTGTCCAGCTCCGTCGTGGCCAGCTTTCTCTAACTGCTGGCCAGACGTGGGCGTCAGCAGGCTCTGTCCATATGCTGTGAAGAGAAGTCCCTTCCCTTCCCTTGCGTATTCAGGCTTTTCCTCCGACTCCGGGTCCAGATGTCAGCAGAGGACTCGGTTCTTCTTGGAGAGCATGTAAAAAGAGGCCATCGTCAGATTCCCGCAAGAGACCATGAGTAAGAGGCATGTCGAGGTAGGAGAAGGAGCTGAGGAAGATCAGGTTTGCTCTGAGAAGCAGAAAGATAGTAACAAAACCAGAAGAAAGAATTGCAAGATGGAGACACTGGTGTGTTAGTCTGGACCCAGAAAGCCATGTCGAGTGAGTCGCGGAGAACATGGAAAACGAGTGTTTAAAGGAAGCAGAGATAAGACAAAGACGACGATTTTATTTCATTATGGTTTGGAAAAAAAAAAAAAGGTGTGCTTTAGGTTGAGTAGTAGTTGGGACTTTGTGGCTGAAAAAAATAAAGTTTGAGTGAAAAGACCTGACAAAATGAGGAATCCAAAGGAAGCTCTGGCCCCAGACAGTACTCAGTAAGGCCAGGAGCTCAGCCCATCTCCTAGAGGCTTGCTTTATTCCTCTCTGCCTTGAGATTGCCTTTGGGGATGGCTCCCTTTGTCAGCCCCTTCCTACCATGTGGTCCCAATAGTCCTGTGCAAGAGCTTCTCCTTTTGCTCCCGTCTCTACAAACATTGCAACTTGAGTCTGGAGCCCTAAATAAAGAGACTGGCAATAGGAGATGGAAAGCTGATAGTTGCCATCTAATTAGGCAGGAGATCAGTCCTTGGGCTTGGGACTAAGGAAGATTCCTCAGGAAGACAGGGGCACGGTGAGTGAGTGGAGGGAGAACAGATGATTCTCCTCACTCATGGGGCTGTGGTTGAGGGGAGAAGGGCAAAGAGCAACCCCTTGCCCCCGTGAACTCAAGTGGCCTTTACCTTTGACCCAGCTGGAAGAGACTAGGAATGTGCTTACGGATATGAAGGTAGGATACACCTGAGAAGAGGGAAAATGGAGTTTGGGCTACATGGAGGCAGTGGACTGGCTGTTTGAGGGATCAGGGAGGTACTCATTAGAAGAAGCTACTTCATTCTCTGTCTCCTCTCAGTGAGGCAAAGGCTCTGTCCCTAGCAGCTTAGTAGCATGCTAGGACATAACTCAGTACAGCGTCACACACCTGTAATCACAGCCCCTACAAGAAAGAGGCAGGAAGACCACAGCGAGTGTGAGGCCAGCCTGGTCTACAGCCCTAGGCCAGACAGAACTACACAGTGAAACCCTGTCTCAGAAGCAAACAAAATAGGCTGCAGAGATGGCTCAGCAGTTAAGAACTGGCTGTTCTTCCAAAGAACACAGGTTCAAGTCCCAGCACCCACATAGCGGCTCACAACCATCTGTATCTCCAGGCTCAAGGAATCTTGACACTCTCTTCTGGCCTCCCTGGGCACCAGGCATGCATGTGGTGCACAGACATACATGAAGGCAAACATACCCATACAGATTTTAAAAAAAAAGAAAAGGTTTAAAGGAGGGAGGGCTCCAGAAAACCTGCCGCTGAGAGAAGTGGAGATGAGGTGGGTGGAGAGGGGGAGTACCGCAGCAGGAAGGACCTGAGCCTGTGCAGGGGGCTATTAGATGGAAGAGGGCAAGGAAGGAGGGGACCAAGCTGAGAAGGATTTGGATACTGAGTCCATGAATTGAGAGCTTTCCCTGAAGGCAATAGACAGCTGTTTTGATTGGAGAATGAAAGGAAGGAGGCAACATCCTAGTTAAGAATTTATGGGAGTGCCTAGGAGGGAAGCAGTATTGCTCAAGCAGGCCATGGTAAGATGATTAATAGTGAGAGAAGAAGGGAGCAGAAGGTTTCCCTTCAGAAACCAGCAGGCTGTCATGACTGTCTTACAATAATTGTTAAGAGCCCAAGACTTTCCAGCTTGCAGGAGGTAGGGGTGAAAGGTCACAGCAGGGTCATAGTAGAGGTCAGCTGTTAGACCAAGAGGAATAAGCATGCCACCAGAGCCCTGTGGGTTGCTCACCCCACCACCCTCTTCCTGCAGAAACATTGTGCTACACAGATGACACTGCCATGGCCAGGGCCCTGGTGCAGTCCCTCCTGGCCAAGGAGGCCTTCGACGAGGTGGACATGGCTCACAGGTGAGGGATGTAACCCTGGCCCAAGGCCAGGCAGGCAGGCAGTGGTACCACACCCCTCAAGAGAGGAGCAATACCTGTGCAGACTCAGCACCCCTTTTCTCTGCAGGACCCTTTCTCAGGCTGACACTAGCTCCCTAAGCTAAAAGTGACAGCACTATTGGCACAGGCGCCCTAGGTACCTAGCCTCCCCTTCCAGCCCAGCCCAGCCTTTTCTTCTAGCCCTGAGAGGTGCATTTGAAACCCTCACTGCCCTCACTGCCTCCCTTCTCTTCATCAGGTTTGCTCAAGAATACAAGAAGGACCCTGACAGAGGGTATGGGGCTGGGGTCATCACTGTCTTCAAGAAGCTCCTGAGCCCCAAGTGCCGTGACGTCTATGAGCCTGCCCGGGCCCAGTTCAATGGAAAGGGCTCCTATGGCAATGGGGGTGCCATGCGGGTGGCGGGCATCCCGCTGGCCTATAGCAGTGTCCAAGATGTACAGAAGGTACTGGGCAGGCTGGTCACAAATATGTCTTTCCCAGCTGTCTGTAGAGACATGTGACAGTGGCTCCTCCTCTCCGTAGTTTGCCCGGCTCTCAGCCCAGCTGACCCATGCCTCCTCCCTGGGTTACAACGGAGCCATCCTGCAGGCCCTGGCTGTGCACCTAGCTCTGCAGGGTGTGTCGTCCAGTGAGCACTTCCTAGAGCAGCTTCTGGGCCACATGGAGGAGCTGGAGGGTGATGCCCAGTCGGTCCTGGATGCTAAGGAGTGAGTATAGGCTGGAGTGAGGGTGGAGGCAAGTCAGAAGTGTGGACAGGGCAGGGGTGGGGTTGTCTGGCATTGCCGGAAAGCCAAGCCTTCCTGTCTTCACTGGGAACCTCATGGAGTGGTTAGAAGAGGTCACTCTGCCTCAAAAGGTTCATGGCCCTCAGTGTCCCAGAGAGTAGAACATCTCCGGCCCTCTCCCAGCACTGTTAAGGCACATGGACCTGGGTGGAACCTGGATGTCCCCGATTACTCTCGTGAGTCCTCTCCCTCTGCCTATGTCCTGCTCACTCTGGCCCCTCTGACATTGTTTCCCAAACCTCAGGTTGGGTATGGAGGAGCGCCCATATTCCAGCAGGCTGAGGAAGGTTGGAGAGCTGCTGGATCAAGACGTGGTGAGCCGAGAGGAGGTAGTGTCTGAGCTAGGTGGGTGAACCCTGACTAATATGTACCCCAGCTGACCGCAGGGCAAGGGGGGGCCCGGGACAGCTAGAGCTGCTCTTTGTAGGGCTCCTGGCAGGGCTGTGAACATGCCTGCAGCCTCGAGGACCAGTATCCCCAGAAACAGCAGCCAGCAGCTCGTTTGTCCACTAGTATGGTTGTGGGTATTAATTTTCCTGGTGCCTGTGCCCTGGGCACTGTGTGGAGTCCCTCACAGTGACCTGCCTCTCAACTGCTCTGGGAGAGAGGAGGAATCAAAGCCAGGAACAGGACTAAGTGGGGCCTTGCCTGGCCACCAGCAGGCCTGGTGGGTCTCCGGTAGTCTCACTGTAAAACCTGAGATCTCGGGCATGCCCCTATACAAAGCTGGCTCTTGGCAGATGGGAGGAAGCTTGCGGCAGGGAGAGCGGTCAAGTTCCTGTGCTCCGGCTTCCCCACAGGGAATGGCATTGCCGCCTTTGAATCTGTGCCCACTGCCATCTATTGCTTCCTGCGCTGCATGGAGCCCGACCCTGAGATCCCCCCCGCCTTCAACAGCCTCCAGAGGACCCTCATCTATTCCATCTCCCTTGGTGGGGATACAGACACCATAGCCACCATGGCCGGGGCCATTGCTGGAGCTTACTATGGGATGGAGCAGGTGCCAGAGAGCTGGCAGCAAAGCTGTGAGGGCTATGAGGAGACAGACGTCCTGGCCCAGAGCCTGCATCGAGTCTTCCAAGAGAGCCTGTGAGGACCACAGCTTCAGCGACCCTATCAGGCCCATCCAGGCCTAGGACAACTCAGATCGGAATCCACAGTTCCCTTAGGCTGTCTCCCCTGCCCCAGCATTCCTAGAGGTCAGGATGAGGGTACCCTTGGGATTAGAGGGTACAGCCTGTGAAACTGTGAGGAATTGGTGCCTTCTTGGGGCTACAGCTCTGTCTAGCTGCAGAGCTGTATGACACCTCAGGCCCTTGAAAATATGAGGGGCCAGGGCAGGTTTTATTTTGGAGGGTTATTTGTCCATTTTTTCCCATCTAGGACATGGGCCTCGGGAAGGTGGAATGACCTGTGGGAGAATCCTTTCTTCCAGTTGGGTTTTAATCAGTGTGACAGGCAGCCTGTCACTGACTGGGCAGAGCCTCAGTGGCTTGTGTAGCTCTTGAGACTGGCATTCAGCCCATCCAGTGGCAGCCTGACCTGGCTCCTCACTGGAATGGGCTCTTCAGCAGCAATAAACAGTTTTTTGTAAATCCCAGCATGTCCTGTTTTTGTTTCTACTGGTGGGTAGATAGTGACTCCCTGCCTGGACCACACTTTTCCAGTCCTGGGACCCCAGTGCAGTAGCTGCTGTGTCGTGGGGCAGTCTTCCACGTATTATCAGGAAGGGCAGGGTAGGCATGATCCGGCTTTTCTTGTTGGTCTCACAGTGCTGTCCAGGCATCTGGACCAATGCTTTGCCTGAGAGGTTGGGTGGAGACAAGCTGATTGTTCTGTCTTCCTCAGCTAGCCCAGGCCTGGCTAAACCCGGAAGAAGGACCCTGGAGGAAGTACAGAGCGCCGACCTTTGATGGGAATAGGTGTCATCCAAGGTGTCCCTGTGGACTGAGTGTTGTATGCCTCCTGTGTCTTGGAGCCCAGGCTAAAGGCCTTGGCCTGAAAGGAAGTTTTATGCAGCAGCTGTTATAAAGGCAGTTGAAGCTGGGCATAGTGGTGCCAATAGAGGCAGGTGGATCTCTGAGTTTGAGGCTAGCCAGAACTACATACTGAAACCCTGTCTCAGAAGAAGAAGAGGAGGAGGAGGAGGAGGAAGCTGGAGAGATGTCTCAGAGGTTAAGAGCACTTCTGTTCTTCCAGAGGTCCTGAGTTCAATTCCCAGCAACCACATGGTGCCTCCCAACCATCTATACTGGGATCTGATGCCCTCTTGTGACGGGTGACCTGCAGATAGCGCACTCCTGTAAAATAAATTTAAAAAAGAAGGAGTTGAAAAGACAACTCCCACAAACCATGAGGATGATCTCTGAGCATCCTTCCAGGTTCAGTGAAGAGACAAGCATGTGCAGCTAGCTCAGTGGTTGTCCTGCCTGAGATTTCAGGAATATCAGGTCAGCTGTCCCAGAGCCCCAGAGCCAAGGACATGAGCTGCTACTGCACATGACAGCTTGTGAACAGGCGCTTTCTACACAAGAAACTGGGCCCCTACCCTGACCTCAGCTCTGGTCCTAGCACAAGCCCCATCCTTAGGACCAAAGACTCACAATTTCATTCATAATTTGTATCAGATGTTGTAACTTGGCCCTTGGGGTCCTGAGCCAACTGTCATGCTCCACTGCTCCTGAGAGCTTGCAGGAATGTTCCATCGAAGTTTAGTCTGGCTGTAGCCACTGCCCTTCTTTGGTTTCATAGAAGGCCTCCGAGTTTCCCTGGTGCTGCTGAGGCTGCAGGGGAGTGGTTCTAAGGGGCTCAGGAGACTGACTGGGAACCTGTAAGGGAGGTGCACGTCTCAGGAGGAGACCGGATTGAGGCCAGAGTCAGCACAGTGTTTCTACGACAGGTTTTATTGGGGCAGTCAATCAATATAGTCAATACTGTAGTTCTCTTTTTAAAGAGAAGTCCAATTTTTTCTGATTCCCCGGTGCATTTTCCCTGAACCTGACATGGGTCCCATGGTAAGTAGAGAGGAACCTCCTATACCAGGTTAGAAATGAAATGATTGGAAAACCTCAATCTTAAAAAAATAAAAAAAATAAGAGCCAGAATACAGAAACGCACAGGGTAAGTGTAGTTGTCATAGTTAAAACCTGACATTATTTGTCAAAGCTGGTCAGTGACACCCACAGCTCCAACCCACAAACGTTCAGAATCACTAATCCTAAAGGCTTCCAGGTGCAGTCTGGCAGCTCTGCTTAGCTTTCTGGGCACCCTGGCATCCTTAGTCTCCAGAGTTCCCTCTGGGAGCTGATTCATCTCGGCCCATCAGAACCCATCCCTAACACATCAGATTAGTGGCTTTGACCCAGGGTAGGAGGAGGTTGCATTAAAGGCCCAGACACCAGCTGGTTCTCTTGGGTGTCGCAGAAAAAGTACACAGGTCATCTTCTTGCTGTCACAAGCAGATCCCCCACTGGAAGCTGAAGCGGGCTGGCTGTCCACTAGGCTGCTTTGCAGTTGTAGGCAGGGGAGGGGGCTGGGCCCTCGTCCTCAGTCCATCCGCACGGGCCCAGATGGGTGCCCAAGATGGATCACCTATTGAATGTCCCAGATTCACACTTGGTACCGTGAAGTGGGCTGACTAGGTGAGGACTGACGAAGGTCCTAAACCATAGAGAAAGCAGCCATCCTTACATAGGCAAGAATACCCACCATCCCTGGCCCCAGCACTGAGCCCAGCCTGGACTGGGGGCCAAGGGGCTGGGAAACAAGCCCCACCTGTCTCCTACAGGAGCGCCCTGATTAGGGAGGGTGGTAGAAGCCCTAGAGCCAGCTCATTCCAGTGGGAGCCTGCTGGCATCTTTTCTTTCAGAGCCTCAGACTCCTGGGCCCTACCCTGCTTAGAACAGGAAATTGGAAGCAGAGGGCAGAGAGAGAGGAAGTGCCCACAGATGCGCCCCTCTAGTAGACACTAAATAGCCACGGCGCAGTTCTTAAGGAGAAACAAGTCTTCACCCACAAGCTTGCATGCCCCTTCAGAGGGGCCGGCGAGAGGCGTTTTGCCTTGATGGTTAGTTTGGAGTTGGCAAGCGTCCCCTAACAGTCTGATAAGGAGAGAAGTGGCCCACCCCCGGCAGGTGAGAGGAAAGAGGGAGAGATACCCACGTTTGCTTCATCAGTCCTGGTTGGCTCTGCCGTCTTGTATAGACACTGCACAGTGTTCCATCTCAGCCCATGGCTGCCACCCTCATGCTGAAGAGCCAACCCTTCAGAGATAGTCAAAGAAACAGAAGAGCTACCAGCCTGCCTCAGATCCATACCCCTTTCCCTTCACAGATCTCCACATGGCTGCTCCAGGATCTTCCAGGGGCCAGTAGCAAGGGCCACACAACCATCCCCACCAGGACTGGTCTGATTCCATGGCATCACTTGGGGGAGGGGGGGTGTCTATCCATATTGACTGCCTCCATGGTCCCCATTCCCTTCTGCCTTTCCCCCGAAAGGAAACAAAAATCTCAGAGAACCTAATGTCTTTTGCCAGAGGCCCCTGTGGGGAGCAGGAAGAGGCCCAGCGAACACAGGGAGCCCCTGGCCTGTTCCGTGCCATCTAAGGCCACCAAGAAAGCCATCTCTCCCAGCAGCTTCCAGGACTCACGAGGTGGGGGCTGCCTGCAGTCCAGGCAGGTCCAGAACAGGCTACAACCCCCACAGTGCACCTGGGGGAAAGGAAATTAGGCCAACCTCTTCCAAAAACAACTTCGGCCTACAGAAAGCAGGTGAGTCTCCTCGTGGCAAGGCCGCTGCCACCGCCGCTGCCGCCTCTGTTCAGCTTTTGGTTGCTTCCTTCAAATGGAGATCTCTGTAACTGGAAAGGTCTCTCTATCACTAAAGAGGAGGAGGCCAGGGCAGCAGGGTCCCCCACAGGTTATGTGGGACAGAGCAAGAATCCTGAGAAGGAAGAATGAATGTACTCAGTGGAGTAGAGGCCATTGGCCTGGTCTGAGGGCATCTGCACCCACACCTGGTCGTTGGGCCGCAGCTGGAGCACAGCGCCTCCTGACGCCTGGTCCAGATAGCCCTTCTTGTACTCATCGTAGGTGTAGGTGGCCGGCACGTTGTTCTTGTACAGGGCTACCCATACATTGGTGCCCTTGACGTGTACATGGTAAGCAAAGTAGTAGACGCCTCCTACCGGGCAGGTGAAGATGCCAGTAGCTGGGTTGTAGCCGCTGTGGCCATTGTAGAGAGTCCGGTCAAACCTAACTGGCATGCCTGAGGCCGGGAAAGGGGAGGTGAGCACCGCAGTGAAGGCTGGAGTGGCATGGGCTGACAGCTCACCCAGCCCAAATTGTGGCTTGCCTCCTTTGCCCAGGACAGCCCCTTCCACGCCGCCATTGGGCAGATGCAAGCCTGCAATGCCAGTCTCATCAAAGGCCCCAGGGGCCCCAGGAGGCCCAGGGGGGCCAGGGGGCCCAGGAGGACCTGTGAGTCCTGGGGAGCCAGGGACCCCAGGGGGCCCTGTGGGCCCAGCAGAGCCAGGTTCCCCGACTTTCCCTTCTCCAGGAGGCCCTGGAAGGCCTGGTTCACCCTTCAAGCCTGGCAGACCCTGGGGCCCAATAGGGCCAGCTGGGCCCTGGAGTCCTGGGATTCCAGAAGGGCCCCTCAGGCCAGGCTGCCCAGGAAGCCCCAAGTCACCTTTCTGTCCGAGGGCCCCTGCCACCCCAGGCCCACCAGGGCGGCCTGTAAAACCTGGCTCACCCTTGGGCCCAGTTGGTCCAGGGGGTCCATGGGCCCCAGGAAGTCCCCTCTCACCAGGAAGCCCAGGCTTTCCAGCCAGGCCATTAGGTCCTTGGTCACCCCGAATGCCAGGCACTCCTGGGGGACCTCCAGGTCCTACCTCTCCCTTGGGCCCAGGGGGACCACGTCTACCGGGAAGCCCTGCAGACCCAGGAAGGCCAGGTGGACCTCCAAGGCCCTGTGGACCCTGCTCTCCTGGCTCCCCATCCTCTCCTGGCTCCCCTCTGTCCCCCAAGAGCCCCGGGGCCCCAGCTGGGCCCCTGTCTCCCTTAGGTCCTGGTTTTCCTGGCATTCCATAGCCAATAGGACCTATCAGGCCAGGGGGGCCCCGGGGTCCTGGCTCCCCTTTAGCCCCTACTGGGCCCTGTGGCCCTGGTACCCCAGCTGCCCCTGGTACCCCGACACCATCTACCCCAGGGGGCCCTTTTGGACCCACAGCTCCTGGCTCTCCCCTAGATCCTGGAACCCCAGGGGGGCCAGAGTCACCTTTGTCTCCAGGGGCTCCTGGAATCCCATCCAAACCTGGTTTGCCCAAGCCAGCTGGACCAGGCAGCCCAGGGGGCCCAGGGGCACCTGCCTGCCCAGGGGCCCCAGGCAATCCTGGCTGGCCCACTCCATTATCCCCTTTGAGGCCCCTATCTCCTCGGGGTCCAGGCTCTCCCTGGGGTCCTGGCTCCCCCCTAAATCCCGGAGGCCCTGGCACTCCTTGGGCACCTGGTTTTCCAGGGACAGTAATGCCTGAAGGACCCGGAAGGCCAGGAGGTCCTGGGGGGCCCCTGAGGCCCTGGTCCCCTCGTATCCCTGGCTCCCCTCGCAACCCTGGCTGCCCCGGTGGTCCAATCTTGCCTGGGAGCCCTGGGGGACCAGCTTTGCCCATCCGGGAGAAGCCAGGGGGCCCAGCAGGGCCTGGCTGCCCGTGGAGCCCAGGTTTTCCAGTCCCTGGCTTTCCCGGGAAGCCGGGTGGCCCAGGAGGACCCCGAGGTCCCGGCTTCCCAGGGGGACCTGGCTCTCCTTTCAAGTCCATTGGCAGCAGCGGTAGAGGCATTTCTGAAAGAGAGAGAAGGGGACAGTCAGAGACCTGGACAATGGGTATCTCATCTACCCATCCCCCATGGCAGTGTGAGGAGCACTGGGGACGAACAGGCTTTGCATCTACTCATAGAGAACACTCCCAGAGCTGTCCTCCCATACCTGAGGGAGTTCAGAGTTGTCCAGTCGCTATCCTGGTAGCACTGCAGGTGTCCTCATCTAGGGCTCCCTGTACCCAACTACCCAGCCAGGCTTTGCCCAGTGAATTTAGAATATTTATGGCTCCAAGTCCTGATGGCGGGATGGCCACCAGGTGGCGCCAGTAGCCCACGTTATAGAGCAGGCAAGTGGCTTCGTTACTTAGCCTTCCGGCCTGGCCCCGCCCCCAGATAAAGACCACCTGCACCAGCCAGTCACAGCCAGCTTCGGCCCTCTAAGCCTGAGAAGCCCTCCACCAGGAAGGAGTTATGGTCTGAAGGGTCTGGAGGGGCCTCGGGAGCGGTGGTGGGAGGGGTGTCTCAGGGATTGTTGAGTAAGGAGGTTCTCACCCAAGTACTGGCCCTTGCCCTCTCGGAAAGGCGGTCCCACTGGTCCTTTCTGCATGGGCTGCACATACTTCACCGGGGCATAACCAGCGCCCCCAGCTCCGCCGCCAGAGGACCCTCGTGGCCTGCACCAAAACAGCAACAACAGCAGCGAAGGCAGGGCCATCAGCGGCCCCCGCATGGCGTCTGTGGAGGTGCTGCAGGGAGAAGGGAGGCTGTCACCAAAGCAACCACCAGCAAATCTCAAGGTCCCGGGTGTGTACATACTGTCTGCTAAACCTCTTCCGAGCCTGTCTGACCAGCCTCCCCGGCCCGAATTGGCAACCAGATAGAACCTTCTGGAGAACCAGCGACCTCAGCACATCCCTTGCTAAAGCAAAGCTTTTCAAGATGAGGCCCCTGCCATCCACGTGCACACCAGCCTTCTGCCTGGCACCACCTAGGTTCTTCAAAGATGTGAGCCCAAGGTGGCCATGGTGGCCCACGCCTTTAATCCCAACGCTCAGCAGAGGCAGGCCAATCTCTGTGAGTTCGAGGCTAGCCTGGTCTGCAAAGCAAAGTCCAGGACAGTCAAGGCTACACAGAGAAACCTTGACTCAAAAAAACAAACAAACAAACAAATAGATATAAAATTAAGATGTAAGTCTAATCTTCTCAGCACTTACATATTGGTGTCATTGTCCTACGGTGTCCAGGTGATATAGGGAGGCAGGGCTAAGATTTATTTTGTGTCTTCATGATTCCCCATCATGCTGATGACCTTCTGGTCTCCATATTGACAGGAGTCAAAACCTTAGGGGGTTTTTTTTGTTTTGTTTTAGATGTATTTATTTTACGTATATGATTGTTCTGTCTGTAAGAGACTTGCACACCAGAAGAGGGCATAGATAGTTATGAGCCATGTGGTTGCTGGGAATTGAACTCAGAACCTCTGGGAGAGCAGAGGGTGTTCTTAAGCACCGAGCCATCTCTCCAGCCCTCAAAGCCTTAATCTTGAGTGGTGCTATCCCTTCCTCTCCCAACCTTTACTCTGGCACCCAGGACGCCTAGCAGGATAGCTCCTAGGTCCCAGTAGCCTCAGTAGTCCTGGGCCTCAGTTTTACCTTCTATTTATCCTTCCAGGCCCCTTCTTCCAAAAATGCCTCCTGAGAGCTCACACAGCCCGTTGTGTCCCGGCGACCCTATCCATGGCACTTAGCTGAGCTCTGAGAACAAGGCCTGGGTTCTGCCAGCTTGAATACTCACCACAGAGAGAGTTCGGGCAAATAAAATGGGGTAATATGTCTACTTACACCTTGTATGCAAATGTTCACAGCATTACATGATCGATAACAGCCCCGAAGGAAGGCAAGCCCATCGTCACCTCACTGGGATGCTCTCACAATGCATGCAGTGCTAGCACGCTCCATACAGTGAAATGTTTGTTTTTTTAAATGCCTTTTAAATTGCAGTTTGGTTGGTTGGGTGGGGTGGGGTGGGGGTCACACGTGACTGTTTCCATCAGAGGACAATTGACATGAATCAGTTCCTTCCCTCCACTACGAAGGTTCCAGAGATCAAACTTAGGTCATCATGCTTTGCAGCAAGCACCCTTACCTGCTGAGCCATTTTGCATGCCCCCCCCCCAAAAAAAAAGTGTTTTAATTGGACATAAAGGGAAGGCTGGGAAGAAGGTTGAGTAGTTAAGAGCACTGACTGCTCTTCCAGATAACCCAGGTTCCTTTCCAAAAACCCGCCTGTAGGGTGACAGCTGTCTATAACCTGCCTCTGCCTCTACCTCCTGAATGCTGGGATTAAAGGCTGGCACATCTGGACCCAGACACAGATGCTTTTTTTTTGGCGGGGGGGGGGGGGGGGTTTGCTTTGGTTTCTTTTGTTTGGTTTTTTTCTAGACAGCATTTCCCTGTGTAGCCCTGTCCTGCAACTTACTCTGTAGACCAAGCTGGCCCCAACCACAGCGATCCATCTGCCTCTGCCAGTCAAGTGCTGGGATTTATTTATTTGGTTTGTTGAGACAGGGTTTCTCTATGTAGCCCTGGCTGTTCTGGACTCACTTTGTAGACCAGCCTGATTTCAAACTCACAGATATCTGCCTGTCTCTGCCTTCCAAGCACTGGGATTAAGGGCGTGTGCCACCACACCCAGCCCCTTCTTCTTTTCTAAAAATGACAGGTTCTCATGTAATCCAAGCTGGTGTCAACTTGGTAAGATGGCCAAGATGACTTAGCTCTCCTGATCTCTGCCTCTGCTGCCTGCTGGTGGGATGGCAGGTGTGGCCCACCACACTCAGTTTTATGAGGTGCTAGGGATTGAACCCAAGGCTTTGTGCCCGCTAAGCAAGGCCTTTACCAGCTGAGCTACGGACCCAGCCTACAGAAGTGCTCTTTTCTAAGAGTATGTCCTTAAGAGAAGTCATTGTCACAACTACCAGCAGACAACTACCAGCAGAAAAAGCAACCGGAAAGAACATATAAGCACACTCTTCCCAAAGATGCTCCCTTGGAACAGAGGATAGATACGGTAACTGCAGGGGGCTGAAGAGAGACTCAGCTGTTAAGAGCACTGGCTGTTCTTCCACAGGACCCAGGTTGAATCCCCAACCCCTACGCTGTAGCGCACCACCAGCTGTTAACTACAATTCCAGGGTATCCAGTGCCCTCTTCTGGCCTCTGCAGACAGCACAAACATGGTGCATAAACACATGTGGGCAAAACACCCATACACATGAGATAAAAAAAATATTTTTAAAAATGTTTAAACTTAAAAAAAAAAAAAAATTGGCCAGGCCAGGGCATGGTGGTGCACACCTTCACGGCACCCAGGAGGCAGGTGCTGTGAGTTCCAGGACAGGCGTGCCTACACAGAGAAACCCTGTCTCAAAAAATAAACAAGCAGGTCTGGCACGGTGGCACATGCCTTTGATACCAGCACTCAGGAGGCAGAGGGAGGTGGATCTCTGGGGGTCTGAGGCCAGCCTGGTCTACGAAGAGAGTCCAGGACAGCCAGGGCTTGTTACACAGAGAAACCCTGTCTCGAAAAACCCAAAACCAAACAATCAAACAAACAAATCAAAGTCAGCTATGGCCACATGACTGACATCCTCCTCTGGCCTCTGCATGCTATCCCCACCCACATACACACAAGAAAGTGACACATATTTTATACTCAACAAATATCTGTTGAATTAAAAGCAAGCACCAGAGAGAGTCCTGACGTTGAGGGGGACGCCACATCCAGTATGTGGGCTGAAAATCAAACCCAGGGCTTCGTGTGTAGCTCTGAATCCATTGCTTTTAAATGCTTAGTAGGCAGTACCTTAGAGACAGGAAGTAGATGGGGTCATTGAGGGCTAAGGGAGGGGGAAATGGGAAGTGGTTCTCACAGATGGGGCCATTTTAGGAGGGGGTGATGAAATTCTTGAGAACTGGTTGTGAGTTGGGCTTGGTGGCAAAGACTGTAATCCCAGGTACAAGGATCAAAAATCTAAGGTCTGAGGCTGGAGGGATGGCCCAGTGGTCAGCACAGGCTGCTCTTCCAGAGGACCCAAGTTTGCTTTGCAAGCGTGCATGTTTTGCCTATACATGTAGGCAAAACACCCCTACACCTAAATTTAAATTAAATTAAAATGTAAGCCTGGCATAGTGGTACACATCTTTGTGTCTAGCACTCAGAAGGCAGAGACGGGCAAATTCCTTTGAGTTCGAGGCCAGCCTGGTTTGTGTAGTGAGTGTCAGGCCAGGAAGGACTATATAGTGAGACCATATCTTAAAACTAGAAATTGAAATAATTAAAAATTAAAACTGTACTATACTTTTTTTTTTTTTTTTTTTGAGACAAGGCCCTCATGTATCCCAGGCTGGCCTCACTATGTAGCTGAGGGTGACCTGGAACTTCTGATTCTCCCAGCTCCCCCTCCTGAGTGCTGGGATCACAGCTGTGCAACTACCAAGCCTGGTTTGGTTTATTCAGTATGAGAGATTGAATCCGGGATTTCTTCCACGCTATGTAAGCACTCTACCAGCTGAGCCACAGATCCAGCCCTGTGCTTTGCCTTTTTAAAAAAAGATGTATTGATTGGTTGGTTGGTTGGTTGGTTTTTCCAGACAGGGTTTCTCTGCACAGTGTTGGCTGTCCTGGACTCACTTTGTAGACCAGGCTGGCCTCTGCCTCCCAGAGTGCTGGAATTACAAGCATGCGCCACCGTGCCCAGCTAGATTTATTTACTTTATGTACATTGGCGTTTTGCCTGCACGTATGTCTTTGGAGGGTACCAGATCCCCTGGAACTGGAGTTACAGGCAGTTGTGAGCTGCCATGTGGGTGTTGGGAATTGAACCCAGGTCCTCTGGAAGAGCGGCCAAGTGCTCTTAACCATTGAGCCATCTCTCCAGCCCCCTGTACTGTACATTTAAATGGACTAATTTCAAAATATGTAAATTACATATCGATAAGGCTATTGTTTTTTGGGAAGAGTAGGTTTCAGGGTTTTCTGGTTTTGTTCTTTTATTTTTATTTGTTTGTTTGTTTGTTTGTTGAGATAAGGTCTCTACATAGCCCCATCTGTCCTAAAACTCAGTGTAGAGCAGGCTGTCCTGGAACTCACCAAAAGCCTCTGTCTCCCAAGTGATAGGACTAAAGGGTTTCTCTGTGTGTAGCCCTGGTTGTCTTGGAACTGATGCTGTAGACCAGGCTGGCCTCGAACTTACAGAGATCCGCCTGCCTCTGCCTCCTTAGTGCTAGCATTAAAGGTGTGCGCTACCACCACATGGCTAAATTGTTTTTTGTTGTTGTTGTTTTGTTTCATCTAAATAATAAATGTTTTTATTTCTTTGACAACCTTTAAAATGTGATCATTCTGTGATTTAACCAGTCTTTACTTCCAAGTAACTTCTTCACTGGACCTCAGTTCCCTTTGAAATAGCATGCTCTTATTCCAGAAGGCAGTCAGCTTTTCATCATCCCTCTTGTCTAGATAACATCCAAAGACAAAGCCCTTAGGGACAAGTACATGAACCCAGTGGTCATGGACCAGCTGAACTAAGGTCATCATGACTGTAGCATGGTGCCAAGCATGGTCCCAGTTTTTGCTGTTATTTTTTAAGAATCGGTTGCTCTATCTGCATGTACACCTGCAGGCCAGAAGAGGGCACCAGATCTCATTATAGATGGTTGTGAGCCACCC